GGTCACCGAGGTGGTTAAAAAGCTCCTCGGTGGCAGGGCCCCAGGGGTGGATGAGATTCGTCCCGAGTTCCTTAAGGCTCTGGATGTTGTAGGGTTGTGTTGGCTTACGCAACTCTGCAATATTGCGTGGACATCGGGGGAAGTTCCCCTGGATTGGCAGACCGGGGTGGTGGTCCCCCTGTTCAAAAAGGGGGACCGTAGAGTGTGTTCCAACTACAGGGGGATCACGCTCTTAAGCCTCCCTGGAAAGGTCTATTCGGGAGTTCTGGAGAGGAGGGTCTGTCGGATAGTCGAACCTCGGATTCAGGAGGAGCAGTGCGGTTTTCGTCCTGGCCGTGGAACACTGGACCAGCTCTACACTCTCAGCAGGGTCCTGAATGGTGCGTGGGAGTTTGCCCAACCGGTCTACATGTGCTTTGTGGACTTGGAGAAGGCGTTCGACTGTGTCCCTCGGGGAACCCAGTGGGGGGTACTCTGGGAGTATGGGGTACCGGGCCCTTTGATATGGGCTGTTAGGTCCCTGTATGACCAGTGTCAGAGCCAAGTCCGCATCGCCGGCAGTAAGTCGGGCTTGTTCCTGGTGAGAGTTGGACTCCGTCTTTTCCTACACTGTTTCTTAGTGTACCCCCCCCCGGTCACATCACCATCATCACAAAGTTCTGGCTCAGAAGAGAAACTCCCAAAACAGCTGTCGTGATGTCGAACATGTAAGATCAAAGGAACTTATGATTTATTCTCTCCGTGTACAAAGTACAACAGCATGGAGGGAAACATGTTTTCACATTCTGTGATGGACGACGATGTTTGTAAGAAGTGACATGTACCTGTGAGACTCCCCCCTGTATGCTTGTTTTTATGTTTTGTTTTATTCTTTCCTATTTATTTGTTTGTTTGTTTTTTCCTTTACTTTTCTGTTAAATGTCCAAATAACTTTGAAAAATGAAAAAAGTAAAAAAAAAAAAAAAAGATACAAACAATACAAAAGGTGTTTGTCTTAGTTGCCTTGCTAATTTATTTGAACTTTTTTTGAATAGTGAAAAGTACAAAACTGAAATTGGTTGGAAAATGCAC